CCCCCCAGCTGTACTTGGATCAGGAATCCAGGACCATTGTAAAACTTTTAAGTCAATTCTATCAGTGTCAGATTATCCTGCCTTAAATACACCTTTTGTTTTGTCATCTATGGCCTTAAGCTGGATTTTGTCTCCTTAAAGCCCTAGGCCTATTGTTTCTAAACTCTTCCTGTCTTAGCTAAACTGTTGTCCTCACTGTTCTTCACACAGCCTTCAACACACTTATCATTCTCCCTCTCTCTCTCTCTCTCTGTTTTTATGAACACCCTTCTTCTTCTCCACTTACTGAAATCTTACCTGGCCTGTAAAATGAGCATACGAAGAACCAGAGTATGCTCGAGTCTTTCGTAACATTCTTATTTGCCTGATTTTTAGTTCTCTTTTGTCCATAACTTACAACCCTGTCAAATCACAAGCTTCATAAACCTGCCTCACACATCTCTGAAATTTCTGTGGGACCCAAGACTGATGACAGATAATAAATAGCCATGAAATATGTGCCATTTAACTTGAATGCTGACAGACAACTGCCATAGTAAGCTCTATGGCAGATATATGGATAGGGCATTTTTGGCGTGGATAGATATATTTGAGGTCACTGGCATTGTTTTCTTTACCTGAACTTTTCCTGTTCCCGACTGAACACAGCTTGTCAAGGTGCCCGCCAGGAGCACAGACAGCTGCGTGGTGATACAAGGAAATGACAGTTTGGCTTGTTGCGTAGGAAGCTTTGCTATGATCTTTTCTTTTCTTTCCTGGCAGACTTTTGGTTTGACTCTTACTGTGCTCTAAGTTCTTTCCTCTCTCTGTGTGCTTTCTCTGATGCTGCTTTCAACAGGGAACTGCAGATGCTGCAGGCTTACATCGCCACTGTCCTCCTGGGGGAAATACTTCAGTATGTGGAAAACTGGGAACTATGACATCTATGCTCTATCAGTGAAACGCAAAACTTGAATTTCTTACCTTTTCAAGTGTTGAAGGGGACCTAGTGCCACTCTGCCATGTGGGGAGGTGAAGTGGACAAGGATTTTGGGATTATGATTTGTTAGATGCTCATGTGACTTAGAATATTATTTTTACTTGGCTAAAGAAAACCCTACTTTAATAAAGAAAAGGCAAAACAAAAAATCAGGAGAGCCTTTTATAGAAAAATTTCTAAAATGTACAAACCTGAGATGGAGAGATTACTTCATGGTAGAAGGGCTAATGATGTTTTACGGTCTCATTAATGGCTTCTCATCCACCTGTAGTGCTAAGGGCTAGGACAGGTTTGTAATCTGGTTTAAAAGATAATTTGATTTCTCCATCGTGTTCTCCCTAGCTACTGGTAGCTGGAAGACTGCAGTCATTTAGAAGGGAAAGGTTATTCCCATGTATAATAAGAGAGTTTAGGTTTTAGCTAGCTGTTCAATTCTTGCCCATTATCCCAGCTGTGAAACAAATACCACCTCACACATACAAGTTCAGTCCCTTCCATTTCTGCAAAAGCGAGAGGCTATGTGATACAGAGAGCTATTGGCTGTTTCTCAAGAGGATAGGGCTGGCCTTGGCTACTGTGAAGCCACCCAACCTTGGTAAACAAATCTTTTAGGGGCCTGTCAGGATCTGTAAATGACAGTATTGAGTTCCCTTTATGGTCTTGTAGGTCCTAAAGTTGAATGCTCTTTTGAACTAGTTAAATTCTGTGGATCATGAGTCTTCCTGCCCTAGACCTTAAGTATCTACTGCCTGCTGTGTTGTAACAATACAACACATGTATTGTTACATTGGTAGTAGTATTTTATCCAGCTGCTTTGGCTTGTATGGTAATGAACTCCAGCCATCAAATGAGTGGGGTCCCAGTGGTCTGAGAGTCAGTTTACTGTGAGCACCACAGCCCTTTCTCTGTCCGCAAGCTAGAAATGAACAGAAGCCTGGAGAGTCCAAAAGTCATTTTATATTTAGCCTTGGAATTTGTCTTTGAACATTCATCTGAATATGGATGAGTCACAAATTGACTTCATACAAATTAGCAAACTTTCTTGGAGCGATTCTGTTGTTTGCTGCTCTTCATTCCTTCCTGATCCTTCCTGCATGCTAGGCATAAGCCATTTCTCAAGAGTGGCAGCCGGGCCAGAGCTGTCCTCTGGCTTTTTCCTAGAGAAGGACTGGTGACACCGAGACAGGGTGTAAGTCTTTCTGTGTCCTGTTGAGTGTGAGCAGAGAAAGTAGACTCTAAAGGCAAGTCACTGGAAAGTTCCAAGAGCTTATCAAGTAGAAGAAATGCTGGCAAAGTGACGAGGAAAAGCACAGTGGATTCTGCTTGGGAACTTGTTTGTTCTGTGGTTGGATTTATCTTTTGGATGAATAACCCAGTTTTGCAGGCTTTGAGAAGTTCTGAATTTTAGCAGATTGCAGGTTTCTGTATTGTCTAAGTCAGCTTTGGATAGTAAAGACAGAGTTTGTCCATTAGGGTTATTTTTAAAAAGCCTGTTCCACATATTTAGGTATCTGGTTTCCTACTTAGATCATGTAATTAGTAACTGATTCTGATTTTTTTTTACCATAGTACATTTTCCAGTATTTATTCTGCATGTTTATAGTTCAGTACTGGAAAAATTCCTTCCTGACATCTGTTCTAGATTAGCTCCCTATTCCAGTTGTATTTTCCTGTTTTATCAACTGTGGTGAGGAGAATAGAAAGCCATATTTTAAAGATTCCTGCCATTTAAGTGGAGTAAAATTGAATAAACTATCTTATTTTTCTAATTTCTGAAAATAATTATTTTAAATTCACTTATTAAATCACCATCTTAAAAACAATAGAAAAACTGGATAAAATTTGCAATGTATTTACCATAATACCTTTTTGTAGTTGTGAAATTGATTTTTTAATTTTCAGACTTTTTTTTTTAAGACAGGGTTCTTTGTAACATCCTTGGCTG